TGATCGATTCCATTTTCTGTCGAGAAGATGTGTAAGTCCCTTCTTCATTTAGTAATGCTGTCAGCGGAAGTAGCCGAGAAGGTCGTTGGGGTATTTGGACTTCTCTTTCTTTGTACTGCTTTTAGAAGTTTTGACTGCCTGTACTTTCGGAGATCTTCTTGTAAAGCTGTTCTGCAACTGGTATCGGCTACCAGTCGCTCGAGATGTGATGCAGTCGGATCCAGCCTCAGGCCTCTCCTCCTCTTTGAGAGACCCTTGGTGGCTTTCGAAATTCGTTCCGAGTTCCTTCTTCGAGGTATTGAGGCACTTTCACCGCAGACTTTCAGTCCTCTGAGGAGCAGATCGTAGTCCTTCGTTGGGTCCTCCTCGATGGGCCAGTCACAAGTGGTCAGGAGCTTCCCCAATTTGACGCCATTTTATACGACTTCTCTCCTTCGTCCAACACGGTGATAGATTTTCTTTTCCACCTTTCAGCTGAATTGCACTTTTGCTTAAAGGAGGCGGTGATTTGAACCACTGCTGAAACTAAATGGTACTACTGAGACGTCCAGTAATCACCACCTTCAGTTGATGAGATTGTGGTCGATCTCCGCATGAGCCGTACCGTTGGGTGATTCCCATGTCCAACGCCGGTGTTCTTTCTTCATGAAAATGGAGTTGCCATAAAAAAGTCGTGCGATGGGTGAGAGTCCAACAAGGGTTACCGTTTTCATTCCGGAATCCTGATCCAAATCTCCCGATCCTATGCTCTCCTTCTTCTGACATCCCGATTTTCGCATTGAAGTCAGTCATGACAAAATTCTAGAAGGACTTCTGTCTGCGGATGACTTCCTCCGAATCCGCCTCAAATTCCAAGTCATCAGCTGCTGATGTTGTAGAATAACAGTTGATGATAGTGATTGTTTCCTGACGCACAGTATACGAAGGGTAGCCAGGCAAGGTGATAGATCTCATGCGAATCGACAACATAAACAACAGATGGGTGCACAGAAAATCAGCCAAACGATGGGCTATCTGGCATGGCCTACACTTAGTTGGGAATCTGGAGAGCCGGACGTCGAACTCCTTCTTAGCCTACTAGAGTAGACCTCCGCTGTGCTCGCAGTTCGACACCCAGAGTCACCCCCACGCCACGATGATGCGGTTGACTGATATTGTATGGGGGATAAGTTCGTGCTTGTGGTTTTGAATTAAGAAGGCCTCAAAAGCCAAAATTTATGAGAAGTGTTTCACATGAGGGATGACTTTTTACCCTACTAGATTTCCTGGTTTCCAAGCTGGTCTGTTAATCTAAGACTAGAATGGAGAATAGGAAGAAATGAGGTGTTTTGACTCTAAGCCGTAGTCAATTTCGGACATCCGAAGTCTCGGATTTTGCCAGATCTATATGCTAGGATTTGACATAGTAAAAAATCACATCTAAGCTTTTTTTAAAATGAAACAGTTATGTTGATCAAAAAGTCCTGTTGTGAAGATTGGTCACATTGTTGATTATTATCTTAGGAATTTTGCTCAATAAACAATGGCTCAACTAAAAGTATCTAAACATTCAAAAGGAACTTTCCATAATGGAG